AAATTTTTCGTTTCTAAAAAATATAACATTAAACTATAAGTATTACTACCCGCTAGCTATAATACAAGCTACTAGAATATGATTCATGGTCCATTCACTATTCTTAGGGTTCTAACAAAACTTTTTATTCACAAAAATTTAAGCTTCTAGCATTTTAAGCTTCTATAAAATGTAATACTATTATAGTATTGTAGTATTATAGTAGTACTCTAATAATGGTACTTTCCAAGCTACTGTTCATTAATATTATACGGATTACTACTCACGAGCGATAACACAAGTTTTCTTATATAACTTTCAATGATAAATATTTTAATTTAAGACTTTTATAAAATTTAGTTCTACTGTAGTACTATAGTATTAGGACTTTCCCAACTATTGTTCATCAATACTTTAAAGATTCTTTACCCATTGGCGATCATCGATCATTTATTATTCATTACTATTCTTAGGATCCTGTTTAAAAATTAATTAAAAGAGGTACCATTTTAAACTTTTATAAAATGTATTACAATATTCATTCGCTCTAACATGATTCATCATAGCAGAAACCTCACTGTACATGGTATACCCCATCGAATATCCCTCGTCCTGGCCAACATGACATGTTTTTCGAGCATGACTCATAGCCAACCTGGTTTTCCTGGCTTTGTTGGGAATCACGTGCGGTATTTTCCGCCAATTTCCCTTCTAATCAGCGTACACCACCGTACACCGCTCCAGTGCTCAGTGCTCAGTGTTCAGGACGTGCTGTTGTCGCCTCCCTCCGGCTCTGGGCTCTACCGTTCCCTTCATATTTCCCCGCGGCGAGCACCGGACATACGCGCATAGGTGTGTTTTCCTCATTCACACACAACCAGACCAGACACACACACGTAATTTCCATGCGGGTTTTCAGGTTTTTTTTTTAATTGTATTTTCCTCGAGACGAAGACACGAATGTTATAGTTTCTCACGCACCCAAAAAGTCGGTGGGTTACACATGGACAACTTTTACCTACCAACCGGCGGATGGATCGTATGGGATCTTCGATAAATTACTTTATTGGCCAATTGAAGGTCGCTGTCGGTGTGGCAGTGGCAACTACTTGTTGTTTCGCTCAATGAATTCATCGTCTCCCTAGCAGTGGTGGTGGTGGGTATCGTCTTTCGCTTTTATTTTTATTTTATTTTATTTTTTTTGTGTTTTCCTAAGCGAAGGTTTTTTCACGGCTCAGCCAAGCCGACAAGCCAGCAAGTCACAGGTCAAGTGACCTGTGGCCCATCTCTTGGTCGAGTTAATGCCTTCGAATTATGGGGGTTGGATGGCTAGCCTCAAGAACACCGTATGAGAAATGCCATAAAAGTGCATGATGATAAATATTATAAATTACATTTGAATACCCTCTTGAGGGGCACCATTTATCACTCGGTTTGCGGCTTAGTCTGTGGAGAAATCATGGTACTGACCGCTAAATTGGACTCTAGTTTAGTTGGACTCTAGATAGAGTATTTCAAAAGCATAATCAGTTCTAAAGTAGCCTTGACTCCAAAAGGGTTTTGGAGTAGAATTTCATTAAAAACATTTCCAAACTATTCCCTCCAGAGACTGGTTTCACAAGGGTATTCACATTTCGATAAGCCCCAAATGAAAAGCTTTGTAAGTTTTCGTAAGTTTTCATTTTTTTTTTGTGGCGGTTTCATATTTCACACAAGCCACACTCTGGGGCTCTCGGGTTCAATGCCAGGAAGTCCGTTCCGCTTCTGGCAGCCCATCAAAATACAGATACAATTATGCCAGCCCGCCTGACCGTCTGGCATCGGGCTGATGAGCTCGATTTCTAGATCGAGTTTCAGTTGGCCGCTATTTCGGGTATTGCCACACCACCAGCCAGCCCACCTCGCCGGCTGATAAGCAGAATCAGCTAGAAGAATCTCCAGATAACAGCTTCCATCGCGATAAGGGCGAAAAGTATGTCACGTTTGACACTTGTTGCCTGTCCCTGCCGTCACCTTTCTATCTCTGATTTTTTACGCCCCGGCCTGCCCTGCCCTGCGTGTGGGAAGCACCACGAACGTGTTAAATCCAGATTTGTAGGCTTTTGTTGTTTTTTACCCAGTAGGGGGAGAGAATAAAGACCTAAAACTGGCAGTGTCTCTTACACAGACGTGATCAATATACAAGAAATTGATTTCGGCGTGTAGTTATTAGATAGACACGGCTTACAGTGAACCGCCCACAGCAGAAGCCATGTAGGGTACAGTGGAAGTTGGCTCGAATGCTACTGGTTTTGGTACAAGGGTATTTGAATATGATTTTGAATCAGTTTCAAAGATATACTTAGTGTAGCCCCACTGTATAACCCGTTTGGCTCCGTGGGCGTTTTCATTAAGTCGCCACGAGTGGCAACAGGTGGATTCGAGTGGCGTGGAGTGGCTTGGATGTTGATGTTGCCTTTTGGAGACCGACTGGCTGCTTGGACCCTGGCCCCATGCAATGAAAATGTGCATATTCTTTACAATCAATTCTTTGGCTGGCTTTCGCTTATCGGAGAATTGGGTTCACTGCTCTTTATTTTCTGGAGCCAGAGCTTCGTTTTTCTGAATATTATTTTCTGATTTTCCGCTTATCCGACGACCAGATAGCTGGACTATGTTTTTATAGAGGGCACTATCACCGGACTTCCGATTTTCATTAAAGCGATGCGGAGTGATTCATGTAGAACAAGTTAACATACTGCTTTGGATGATTCAGCTGAATCGTTTGACTCAAATTCGAAGCGTTTAATGAGCGTGGCGAATAAGGCGCGACAAGTTTTTCATTCACAAAAGTAAACATCGCACTACCGATGGACAATGGTCAATAGACCATGGGCGATGGTCGTGGGAGTACCATGGGAGTATACTAGTATCCATATTTGTTGCTTCATTTACTTTTCTGATATTCGGGCGTGTGTGTTAATCAAACAACCAAACAACTTGGACCAGAGCTTGCACTATGGGGTTAAGTGGGACGCGTTCCACTTACACGGCGGCCTGCACTTCCACTTGACTCGAAAAAACGCACTTTAGAAACGCACTTTCAGAATGGAGCAGAGAGGGGGGGAATCAGAATTTAAATGTTGCTTTACCGTTAGTTGGGACCACCTTTTACAGCTAGCCCCGGATCACTGGCAAATTGATTAGGCTGCTAATTTATTGGATTCTTTTTTCATCTTGGTTTTGCTGTTGGTTTTGGTTTTGGACATGAAACCCGTTTTACGGTTCTAGACAAGCCGTATTGGTACGTTGAAAAACAAGTCCGATTCACCTGTAGCTACGCGTCACTTCTAAGCTGGCTAACTCTTTTTCTTCTGCCTCTTTTTTTCTCATTTGATCGACTCGCTTGCTTGGCCACCGAGTTGGCTTTACCACTTGGAGCTGTTGCTGCTGCTGCTGCTGCTGTTTACAGCATGAAGCATACACACACACACACACATACACGACACGACGATTTATTTTCTTGTATTTCTTGTTTCTTATGTTGGCTTGGTTTGTTTATATATGTGTACATACGCTCAAGTATATACACAGGGAGGAAACACACGTCTGTACACAATGAAAACCTGTTTGTTGCTTTTTATGTTGCTCTGCGTCGCGCTGGGTGTGTTGTTGTTGGCCGTAGGCTAACGAGACGCTGTGCGGGGGATGGCTTGTATGGGCCTTGTAGATCAGTGTTTTATGCACAATTCACAGGACCTATTGTTTTACACTTGTTGCTTTCTTAATTAGCAATCTTTTAATTACCTCTTTGACTCACCAAAACTTATTAAAACATTCAAATAAACGATCAAATGAAGCAAAAAACACGGAGCACGAAAAAAATGTATACTTCCATCTATCGCAACGCCATTTTTAAATCTTCGCCTATCGGGACTGCCACTCGTCGATAACAGTTGGCGGTATTTTTTAGCACCATTCGGGTGTGGCAGCACTGTTCGGTGTATCGCCTTCATGGGTGCAAGAAAAACTCAAAATAAAATGTAATATGAATAGAGGAAAACGAAAATAAAGTGCAATAAACCTCTAAAAGGATAACAAACAGTGCAGTTCACCATGGCCACGAAGTAAGTGCAGTTTTTCTAACTAATCAAGAAATCCGGGAATTTTTCGTGGGGGTGTGTGTCTGGGTGGGCGGTATGCTGTGTATGTGAGGGTATTTTTGTGTTTGTTTTGAGCTGCAGCCTCCGCCTCCCAAGCCACCCACCACCGCCGCCCACTCAAGCTCGCATTCACATACACAGGCAGCCCAATAAGCGGATGATATTGATAAAATGTCAAAAGTTCAATAGATGTACTATCCTGGAAGTCGTACCATGACCTTTAAGATTATCGTCCTTATGAATATACAGATTATAAATTCTTAAATTTAAAATTAATAAATATAAAATAATCTTCATCTAAATTTAAGAATATTAATATTTAAGATAAACATAAATACATGAACTGATTATTATTATTATTAAAATAAAACCCCTGTGTACCCCTTATTAAGTTCAAAAGGTCAAAGGCCTTCTCTGAACTGAATGTATATGTATAATGTATAATCAAGCCCTAGCAATGCCGTTATCTCACGTTTCGCATGTTAGTAGGGAACCCCCTTGGAAATTTGTTTCTTCAGGTGTTTCGATTCTATTACTAATACAAAATGACAAGCAGATTTCAATTAATTTAAGCCAAGTTAATTGTCACTTTGAGGGCCATCAACTGGTTTCTGACTGATTTGGCGATTTTATTGTGATTCCTAATAGCATGGGAATTATTTGCAATCATATGGTATGTAAAATAATTGCCGGATTGGTAGGCGGATTGAAGTGTTTCTCGCGAAGTGTTTTTTTTTTTGTCCGATTTTATCGTTTCATGGCAGTTGCCAATATAGAAACTTGTTTTGATCATAATTAAGCCAACCTTCATTTGGGGCTTGAAGATGAGCTAGCTGACGCAGACTTGGATAGTTTCTATTCATCCATCGTCGTGTCACCATGTCTTGGCAGTTCTGCTCGGTGAGTAGTTAATGATTTTGTTACGAGATCCTGTTTAAAATCCAATATAATATATTAGATTATTGCGTTACTTCTCGTTGGGTTCGGGAACTCCGCACCCCAAAATATTGTTCCTCAAATTCGCACAAATGGCTTCCAATTGGAACCTCTCAACAAGGACTATTTCCTCAGGTAGATTACCTTACTTTCGGAGAAATTTCCATTACAATGTCGTATTTTAATAGAATCGAGCAACCGGATGGAACTATCCGGCAGGAGTCTGTCCAGCAAAATGAAGCCGGTAACCTGCACGTTACCGGTGTAATAAATCAACCCTACGAGGACCATGGAGCCCACTTGGTGCTGACCTATGAGGCGGGTCCAAATGGATACGTAGCCAAATACAGCTATGGAAAGGGTCCTCCAACACCACCCCCCAGTCCGCCACTTTTCCTTAGCCCCAACGCCCTGAAAACAGCAACTGGATAAAAGTTGGTCTCTAATATTGTTCAAACTCCTGTGATTCCCATCTTTGATAGCATTTGTATAATTCCTACATGCTGATGTCAATAAAAATTATTTATAAAGGCTTACTTTTAAACCACAAAAGTATGCAATGAATTTTTTACGCTTTGAATTCCTCAGAAAGTAGCTCAGTAGCTTGAATGTGGATTATGAAAGAATCTCTAGTCTTAATTCTGAACCAAAAAATATGTATCCAAGGTTAAGATCGCTCTTAATTCATCTATCTGCTAAAACAAATATGAAACGTGTTTGTCAATATATATGCTAATTTTTAATGTATCAAGTTTTGGCGCATCCATTTATTCGATCGTTTTGTTTGGCTTTAACTTTAGTCGCCAAGTAACCTTTATGTGGTCAGCATCATGTCCGGCACAATAATAAGTACTGTGAGTTCTTGTAGTTCCTTATCCTTAAGGATATATCTAAAACCCTATGTAGTTGCTTTTGATTTTATTCATCAACTGGACCACCTCTGCTCCTGCTGATCCTGGTTATATTCTGGTACCACGGATCGACCACGATGGTTTCCTGCTCGAACCCCAAAATAACCAATACTACTTGAGGTAGAATATCCTTAATCCAGATGCATAGATTTTATTGTACTGATGACTTTATAGAATCGATAATTATGCGGGAGCTGTGCGAGAGGAGACTGTTGAGCAGATATATCCTGGCCTGTTCTTGATTCATGGCAGTACCCAAGAGCAGTTTCCAGGAGGCAAGACCCTTAAGGTGAGCTACGAAGCTGGACCCAATGGCTACCAGGCTAGGTACACCTTTGACGAAATCAAGTCGGTTATCCAACAACTTCCTCCCGCTGTATTAAAAACTGCCGCTGGCTGAAAATAATCAATTGTGAATATAGATTTTAGTTGAGGAATAAAAAATGCCATTAAACAAGACTTTAAAACTGTGTTGGATGAATTGAAAACCTCGTAAACCGGTAATCGATGCCGGGTTTGGCATTGAATCGGTCTTGGATTTCATGAATATATTATAGTGTGTTATTAGTTGAGTACTTGAACACCCGCTCAACCGTGGCGATAGGAGAACCGAGACGCTTTCACCTCACCTCAGCTCACCTGTTGGCCCACCTTTAGCGTGAGCTGAATTCTGATCACGAGAAGTGCCGCCGCTCTCCACTCGCTTGGCGCTCTCGTATCAAAATTATCAGGCAGCTGGGCCACATCAGACAGTTGGCATTGTGCTACGGTATTGGCTTGTTCAGACTTATCAGACTCGGCGGTCGTCTAACGTGATAAGCCCCCCGATGTTGCAGCTCTAAACCAAATCTAGGGACAACAATGTTTCGGGGTTTCCGAAAACGCCACAAGAAGCGATGGCAGCAGCAGCAGAAGGAGATCCCGGAGCTCCTGACCGAAAGGTGACTTTAATGATCCAGATCCGTAATTTATTTGTGGGGCTTCTTCTGGAATATATTTATAGGTTTATGGATTTAATCTTCATAGACATTTTATTAATAAGATAACTTACCTTTTTCTGTTGTTACAGGGAGACTATGATTGTGTTTGTCTACGACACAGAGTGTCTCCAGGACGAGGCTGATGATCCTATAGCCGCAGTCCTCTACTTTCATCCCAGCTGGGTTTCCGACACTCAGAAGGTGGCTCTATGTGGGCAACTGATGGGCACCTCATTCTTCCTCAAGGACTGCTTCTTCAAGCCTCGCATCCTGGCCCTGCAAAATGGCAAGTTTGTGCTCAAGGAGTTTGGACGCTTTATTCTGGTAATGTATTCCCAGGATTTATATTTTCGATCAGCAATTAATACCAATATTTATTTCAGGCCGTGGGAACTGATCGAAATATAGGAGATCAACTACTGGAGCATCGTGCCGACCTATTGAGTTCCCTGCTGAAGTTTTTCCATCGCGACCTGCAGACCCTTTATGACCAGTACGCCCTGCCCCCCACCCTCAACAGTCGGAATCTCAGCGAAAAGTTGTACCACATCTTTGAGACATATCTGCCGATGCTTCACCGCAACGGAAATACATTCCAGAACGTGCCCAGGTTACGCATGCCGAAGGTAAGCATCTCCAATCCTAAGAAAAAACTGAAATAATGTATCCTTTCTGATAGACTGCGAGTCACATTTTCCTGGAGGCTATACAAACGCTGCAGAGCTGCCAGCAGACAAAGGGGATCCTGGGCGGAGCTATTCTTTACCATAACAAGTTAGTAAAGGCCAATAGGCCAAAGTCCAATAGATATTTCCATATAACTCACTCCAATCTTACAGAGTGGTGGCTTCTCAGCTTAGCGATGTGGTAACCAAGCACCTGGTTCTGGCTGATCCACGCCACGTTCGGACCGCAGCCGAACAAGTTGCTAGCCATGATGAGTTCCACATTCCCAATGGTGTGCAAATGCTGTTGGTGTACCTGGAGCAGCAGCAGTACCGCCAATTGGCCAGTGAAGCCCATCGGGCCCAGAACTTGCAGTTGAGCACGGCGCAGCTGTCCCAGAGTGGAATGCCCTTTCAGTATGCCAAGAGGAAGATGAAACGCGACAAATCGCTTATTTTCACCCACATCCCAGAAGAGGAAAACGCTACCGATCCCCAACAGCAGCAGGAGGAAAAGTCGGTGCCCGCGGAGCTGCCCCCAGCCCGGCCTAAGGCTATGCGACCCACGCACTTGCCTCTGCGGCTGAAAAGCATGCAAAGCAAGGATCTCCCAGAATCTGGGATCGCCTCCATAAACTTCGACGAGACCGACTCCTATCCGGAGTTCATTGGACGCACCAGCGTGTGCAACACTCCGATGACCGAAAACAAAGTGCTACCGGTGGCCAATGTCATGTCAATTTGCGCAAATCCCGAGGATGAGGGAAAAGAGGAGGATGTCCATAACTCTAATGGCAAAAGCCAATCGCGCCGCAATTCCCTCAAGATGGACGTGGAGAAATTCTTTCAGAACTTCATTAGCAATCCCAGCAAGCAGATGACACGCCGCAAATCGTCGGCGGACTTACAGGACGCTCTGCGGGCCATCTCCAAGAAACTGAATCACTTCACCCATACCTTTAAACCGGATGTCAACAGCAATGGAAGTGATAATGACGATGCTTCTTCCTGCTCGCCGGATTTCATTGAGAATGACGAGAAGATCCCCTCACGGACTATTAGCGATCCCACCTACCCGGTGTTCAACACCAACGGTCAGCAGATCTCGCGCAACCTCTTCCAGCAGTTCCTCGACCAGTATCGCCGACTGTGGGGTCTGGCCAGCGAGCAATCTCACCAGGACGCCGAGCTAGCTGCTCTGGTGGCCGAGTTCAAGGAGTTCAATGCCGAGATCCAGAAGCTCGACGAGCACATGCGACAGCAGGCGGCTGAGGCAGCATCCGCGGATAAAAACCTCAACATTTCCTCCACCAAAACCCAATTGGACAAGCGCTCCATGACATTGCCCCTGAAATCGGCAGGAGAGTCTTCGTTTGGAGAACGAACCGGACGCAGTGGAGCTGGCGGAGTGCCGCTTACACCTCTGATGGCCAAGCTATCGGTCCTAGCTCTCAGTGAAACAACGCCCATTGAGATACAGACTCCGCTGACGAGTACGAAGGTGTTTCCCCGTCGCAGCTCCCTCAAGTGCGAGGATGCGGTAGATGCCTTGGCAGCCTTGCCCAATGCTCCAGTAAATCCTCCCCCTGGCGTTCAGGCCGATGGACTACATCGTACAGAGCTCTACGTATGTGGGCAGCAGAACATGACCTTGCTGCTGCTCATGGAGGAGGGTACTTGTCAACAGCAACAGGTGGTTCAAAAGATGGTGAGTTTCAGGAAGTCTTCTTTTCTTAATATAGTCCTCTAATCTGTGATCTCTTAAAGTTTGATGTATGCGTTGCCAAGTTCCCTCACATGGAATCTCAGTTAAGTCAGACCCTGAACGTTAATGTGGAGGGTGACAACCGTGATGGCAGCAACTATAGCTTCATGTGTGTGGACTCCAAGTGGGATGTGCTCCAACGGAATGGACACTGGAACCCCCTCGAGCTTAATATCTTGGAGAGCATGCATTCAATACATGCCAGTGGTCACCATCTCACCGATCTTATTCTGCGGTAAGGTCTACTTCATCGGAATCTTAGTCGCAACTTATAAAGATTCATTATTTTAGATCTCACGACTCCGTTTACTATGGTTACAAGTGCGGCCGGACCGAGTTCTTCTACAAGGAGCCCACTCACCAAATCAACGGCATTCCACCACCCTCGGATCCCATCGGGAACATACAAATGCGCGCCAAGGCGCGACTGGAACGTGATCATTCCTACATGCTGTTCTAGGATGTACAGTGGATAGTATATTATATATAGAAACGTATTGAATACTCGCATGCTTAGCCAAAAACAGAAATGTTAACGGGGCCCCGGATAGATAGCCGGGGCTTCCAAAAAATAGCCAACATTATGCCATCCGCTGTTGTTTACTTTGCGAACTCTGCGCTGATCCCTCACCGAGTCCTGAATTGTGGCATGGAAGCGTTTCCATATCATACTGCAACCGAATCAAGGGAACTCAATTTTAAAGATACATTTTATTTTAACTTTTTATACAAGCATTTACAGGGCAAACAATTTTAAACTATTTCCAGCCACAATTCGAGGGGCTCGGTGCTGGGAATATAACGAATTTTCTATATTTTATCTGCAGCCAGAGCATTAGATTAGCCTTGTTTTATCATTCCCTTAATTGATGTAGAGTACAAAAAGTTTTAAGCTTTGTTTACAATGTCCAGCACTGTTGTTTAATTTGTAAGCTTGTCAACTATACAATTATTTAAATTATTTTGCAATTGCTTTTATAGAAGAAGTACCAAAGAAATCGAAGGGTGTTTTTGATTGTAAATATGACAAAAAAAATAACTATCGTAGATTCATTTAGATGACTAATTTAATTACCTTAAACTGCACACGGATTCTGTTCTGTCCAGATGCAAACGTAAACTTATCTTAGCCGTTTCTCATTATGAAATATTAAGCGCTTTGTGCCAATAATTAAATGCAGGTAAAATGCTAAAAACCGTCGAATGGAAAGGAACTTGTAGGGACGCATATAAGCCAGGTTCTTTGCTCACACGTGCAATGCTATAGAAACAACCAACTATTTTGAGAGTTTTGCGTTGACTTAGCTTAAATATACATAAATACCTAAACATAACAATATTTATATATATACATATTCATGTACGACACAAAAGATCGTTATTGACTTGTAGATTTTCGAAAATAAACCGACTAATGTGTGGTCTGTGTTTGAGAAATACTTTCGAGTAAGATCTAAGGCACTAAGGGACTAGGACTAAGGCATCTTCATCACAATCCAAGGAACGCGACCGTAATACTTGTAATGATAGTAGTCGTAGGCTAGCTTGCCGAGGATGAGGAGGATTAGGCTGGCCAGTACTCCGTTCAGCCAGTCGATGGGGTGGATGTGCGATCCATTCTCCATACTGACGCTGCACATCTCCTGCCGGCTGAGGGACAAGACCTTGGCCAGGAGCTGGTCATCGTCCTGCATGTAGGTGCAGGACACATTCCACGCATCCCTCACGATCTCCTTGTACTTGGTCAGCAGCTCACGCAACCGGCTGCCGAACTTGCAGGTGCAGTGCCAAGGATTCCGGCTGAGGAGCAGAAGATTGGCGTTCTGGTTTTCATTGAGGGCGTTGTCCAGGGCATAGACGTGGAGCTTCCTCAAGTTGTTGCCCCTCAGGTTGAGCAGCCGGAAGTTTTGAAGCCAGTCAGTGTCCTCGAGGTTGTCTATGTTGGCCACGCGGTTGTTTTCCAACTGTATGTCCACTACATGGCGATAGTGGGGATTGTCCCGCAAAGGATTAATGTCACTGATCTAAGGAAGGAAAGAGTCTTAAGTGAAAGATCCAGAGTGGCAGGGAGTGTCTTACCAAGTTATCATTTATGGCCAAAGTGGTGGTGTTGTCTGGCAAAAAGGCGGGCAGGTGGTGGAACTCCAAGTGGGAGCAGTTTACTGTGTATAGAGGAACATGGGTCTTTGGCAAGATGTGGTGCATCAGGCAGGTGCAGTTCTTCAGATCCTCGTGCGACTGGCATTGCTTCTTCAGCTCCTAAAAATAGCTCCCTTTAGTGAAATCTTAAAAAGAGTCCTTATTCTACTAACCAGCTTGTAGTGCATGACCAATAGCATCTGGCGCTCCTTGTACTTGCGGTCCATGCATATGAGTTCGTCCCGATCCACCACCAGACGCCCCTTCTCCGGCTGCAGTAACAGCCACTTGAAGTTCCTGGTGCAGTTCCAGGGATTGCCGGCCAAGTAGAGCTGCTCGAAGCTGTGGGGCAAGATCAATGGCCCGTCCAGCTGAATGAGCTGGTTCCATCGCAGATCCAACACTCTAAGAGGATGGACTCTCTTGAAAGTTCGTGACGAGATGTAAGAAAGATTGGTCCACGATATGTTTATGGTCTGGAGGTGAGTCATTTCGGGGAAATCAAACTTGAACTCCGTAAAGCCACTGTACTCGATGGTCAGAGATCGAAGGCGGGGTAGTTTCTGTAGTTCCTTCAAGGGATTGAAGACGTCCTGGGGCCAACCGCAGAGGAGCATTTCCACAGCCTGCTGCTGTCGGTAAAGTTTGGCGGAGTTACTGGAAGAGATAACCATTTTATTTAAGCAGAAAGACCCATAAAATTATTATTATTATACTCACGATAAGGCTGCCAGGTTATTCATCCCGCCGTAGCACTTGAGAAGTCCGTTTGGTGTCACACGGGAGCAGTTGCCACCCGCTGCCTCCGGAGCCGAGGTCCAGTCTTGGCAGCCAGGCGTGAAAACGGGCAACGAAATGATTGTGGTAGTTGTGGCCATTGTGGTGGCACTGGTCTCATAGTCCTCACAGGAGACATGACCCAGACTAAGTAATAAACATTTGGGAAATATATATTATTTTATTACCGGTTGTGTGTTTATTTTTGGCCCAAAGCAACCCTCAAATTAAACGTTAATTTCGACGCAATGCGCCTATCGTTTAGGGCCCGGGTGATAAGCAGACGCCAGGTACGTCTTAATTGCTTGTGGTAATAACAGAGATACGGCTACAGAACCAGAAACAGATACTGACTATTTAATTTTCTCTGTTCTGTTCCCTCTCGGATTCAGGAAATTTGGTTCTCGCAGATTACCTTTTATGGCACTTGATGGACGTAATGTGGTTACCTCGGATCACCTACCCCATATATGTATGATCTATTTTCCCTCTACTTGCATCTAAAAATAAAAAGTGAGTTTCAAGCACCTCAAACTGCTTCTAGCCGACCGGGTTTGTTAAACACATATATTTGTAGACTAATCGGAATGGTAGCTCCACTTTATTTTGTATATCTGCGTAGTACAGGCCATCTTGTTTGCTCTCTACTATCGGGCTGGGAGTCTGCATCACATGATGCCCACTTAGCACATTCGAGGTGCTATATCTCAGGTTGACAATAAGATTTTCGTCTGGGGTCTGGAATATTTAACCAGAACAGCCATTTAGGAAAGGTTTTTGGTTAAAAATTGCAAAACCTCAGAATGGTGGTAGGTCAGTTACGTTTTCGTGGAAATTTTCACCACTTTTATTTGCAAACAGAGACCAAAGGAATAAGTTTAATAGTTTATTTCCGAATAAACAAAACGGCAGTTCCAAAAATATCCACGTACTATCCACGTAAACAGGGGGAAATATATACATCATCTTTTAATATTAACTCGGCGCGTTTTCTAAGGGTACTAAGTGGGTCTAACAGACAATTAACATCTTTGTATAGTATTCGGGTGGGTCCAAGGTGTCGAACACAATCTACAAAGCAAATTAATAACACGAAAAATATTTATTTTAAAATCCCCCAAATAATGGAGTTTGGTAGCAGCTTTGTTTGTTTTGAAGTGGTTAGGTATTGCGAACGCCAAATATTAAAATATGGTTCTTTTAGAGAACCATTTCATCTGCGCAATCGAATAAAACCAAAAAGCGTAGCTGACAAAATCGACACGTTTTTTCAGAGCCGTAATGTCAATTATCATTAATTAACATTTGCAAATTATTTATATAAACGATTTCAGAGGCTCATACCTCTGGATTTCACTGGTTTTTTGTTTTATTTATTCGACATAGATTTACTTCGGGTACACCATGGCGTATACTTAACAGAGTCGTGTGCGATATGAAAAGCACTTCAATTCGATGTACTGTCGAATTTTTATTGAAAAGTTTGTCTGGGGAAATCTATCAATTGACCTTTTGGCCCTCAAAGCAATTGATAAAAGCTATTTTATAAAAACAAACAATTCGTTTGAACAGAAGTCGTAAATGAAATGTTTTGTTCTTGGTTTATTGCTAAAAGAAAAACATTTTAATGGTTTTTCAAATGATCACAATTTAGTGCTTCCCGAAAAGACAGTACTCGAAACAAGTTTATCAATGACTCTATAAAAATAAATCTACTTAGGAATCCGTCACGACAGCGGCTGTCAATTGGTTTTTGATTCCCATTAAGATTGCCGGACAAATGAAGAAAATAAATAAGATCAAAAAAAGATGACAACTGGGAATAATAGCCAGGGAAATAAATTACATTACATAAAACATTTGGGATCTAAGAATGTTTCTCTGCCATATATAATATTGATAACGAGGCCTTTTTATAGCCGTGTGATAAGAATTTTTAAATTAGAAGCCAAATGGCTCATATACGTTGAGTAGCTCCCTGCTTGGGGTGAGTGATAAAGGTGGCATAAGATTTGGTGTTTTTCAGTTAAGGAAGTTGTCACCTTCTTACCATTTTATTGCCCTAATTGGGTGTGTGTTGAATATTAAAATAAACAAAATAATAGTTTGAAGTAAGAACTTAAAGCTAAGCACTCTTGACACTATTTTGGTCTTTTTGTATTAACCATAAAACGCAATCTGTTCGTTGATAACCAATTTTGCATGGGCCTTATAACCATGGACTATAACCCACATATGGCCCGTCGCGGCCTAGAATAGGATTTATTATATTTAATAATAAATCAGCTAGACAAAGTTAAAGCCGACCCACCAGCGTTGTAAACATCTCTGATAAGAGCTCCCCATGACGCGTATTACATTAAATTGCTCATACGCTCCGTTGGATGCATTTAATTCTTGTTACATATTTTTTGTTTCATTACCTTAGTAACAGGCAAAGAACGGAGATATATTTCACTGGCCACTTTTCATAGAATCGGCTTGCCATGTTAAATGGCTTCTAGTTCTTGTATATTTATTTAAAGTCTGTTTATCCAATTTCCGTAGTTCTCAGTCAGAATATTCCATTGTCGCGATCTGGTTGGCAGGTGAGGGAATTCGGATCGAGTTGTTTTGGCCTGGCCATTTGCCTACGCCAAATACATAATCAAAAAATTTTGTTGCTTTTCGCGCGCGTCACGGATCCGCGTATCTCGGCATAGCTCTGTGCTACTTTTCTCGCGTTTGAAGTTCAAATGCGGCGCGAACGCGAATCGCTGGCGATTTTGTCGTTTCTTCTTCTGCCTCTGCTCTGCTGGTATTATTTTTTGACGCCGGAGATCTCCAGCCCCGAATCAGCTGACGGCGAGAGCGATATAGAATTATCTTCCATATATATATTGAGAGAGGACAAGAGTGTTTGGGGGCTCGTTTTCGCGGCACACCAGCTGTTTCGAGCCACATGAGTTAAAGGGTTGTGGGGTGGTGATTTACGATCAGTGTCAGGGTCGATTTGCGCGGCTATTGGCCTCCAAACTTCAAGTTCGCCTAGCGCCATCACTGAATCATCAGAACAGAGAGTACACTACCTGGTTCATTGGCATACAAATTACCTATAATTTTGTCAGCTTAAATGGACTATTTTATGGATTTGTATAATAGAAAACACAATTTCTAGGTACATTTATAATAAAGTTTAATTTTTGTTGTATTTGTACACCAAAATATACGTACCAATTAGTTGAAAACTAAACTAAGGAATATAGGTAACACAAACCGTTCACTAGAGCGTGTGCAGATATACATATACATATATAATTTTTGACTAAAATTTGCGTGGTCTAGTACGTTATTTAACAATTATTTGGTTTCGAGTTTCCAGCTAGGTGCTTGTACATTGTTCTAAACGCTGCAGGCAGTAACTAGAGCTCTGAGCTTCTTTGGACCGGTGAAAATGCATCGACATTGATATACTATATACACATATATGCGTATGTTGATAAGATAATCCCTAAGCAACTTTGTAAGCTTGCCGCGAGGCTTTGAAGGTACAATTTGCCTGCATACTTTCCCTGTTTTGACTATAAAGTGAGCTTAGTCCACATCATCGTCGGCATTGTTTCCACTGACAGCATCGCCAGCTGCCTCATTGGCCCCGCCGCTGGTGTTGTTGATTTTCTCGTTGGTCTCGGCTTGCTTTTGACGCTCGTAGTCGCGCACATCCTCGAGGGTCATGCCATGCCACTCGTCCAGCCAGGCGAAGGCCTGTCGGTGCCCCAGCAGCAGGATCTCCCGAATCCCGCGCTGTATAAAGTCCTCCACCTTGGTCTGCAGACCCCAGACCTCGAAAGTGGCATGGACTACTTTGTAGGAGCACATGATGGGTTTGTCCAGATCACGCCATCCCTCAATCAGAGGTCCTCGATCTGAAAGGGTTATAAGCCTTAAATAGAGACTCTTTTTAAACAAAGTTATTCCTGTTTACTTGTCTTTTGGGATTTGTAAAACTTCGGATCCTCCTCTTTCTTGTAGTGCTTCGGACTCAGGTCATCAAAAGCTATATCCAAGTGATCCACAGTCCGTACTTTCAGCTCCTCCTCGGTGAGATCCAGGCACTAACAATGAGATACATTATTAATCAATAATTTTAGTCCACATGTAAAGCATTGTTTTACATTTTCTGTACTTCCGTTGTTGTCCTCGTATTTCGTTTTGATGAGCACATGGAGCTTAGGTATGAAGGAGCACTGTAAATTGCAGGATAATTGGTTAGCAAAGGACAACGAAAATAGAATCCATACAATTACCGTGTATTCTAGTCAAAGTTCCAGCCAATTACAGTCCCATTATGGCACATGAAATTATGAAGGTCGAAACAAAAATAAATCAATAATATACCACGCACCAAATATAATTCAAGCATATCTAATATGTTATTTTGGACTAAACAGCCCTACACTAACCCTGAAAAAGATGAATAAATCAAAATGCCCATTTCGATCAAGTAAATTATGGCTGTGCATATGCTTCCAAGCAAAATAAACACCAGGTTCAGGGAAATTCTAGTTAGCTAGCTTTGTTTTGATAATAGAACGGTGTTGAAGTGTGTGATTTAAGGCTGATTCCTTCGATTTAGATAGTGGTGTTTGTATAATATCCACAAACACTGGGACTTCTAATGGCTTCTACCCAAAATGTCAACGACCTAAAGCCTAAACAAGTAAACACAAACTCCTATCGAATGCATAGCCCCATATCGAGTGCATTGTGCTCCGTGTAATCTGATTTTATCAGTCGGATGGTGGAAGTGGTTTTGGGAATGTGGACAGTTGTGGCCAAAAATGGCCATACGCTGATTGGAGCATTGCCTGGAGCTTTTGCGATAAAGATGACGTATTGCTTCCCCAACAGGTGATTGTTTAATGGGGCCTTTATCGGCAGACGTACCCCCACCATTAGCCGGCTATGCTGGTGATTCCAAGGAACACGTTGCCATATGGCAACGCGAAGGAAGGTGTGCCTACAAATCGAAATTCCAGAGCCATCAGTCCAGAATAATTAACCAGAGTTTAAAAATAGACACCTCACAGGATGCGCAGGCCCATTATGGGGTTGACAGAGGGAAGATGGATGTGTAAGTGGGTGGTTGGGTGGCTAACTCACCTGTTAGCGTGTAGGGATAGTAGTTCCAGGACTTCTCTATCACGTAGAAGACGCGAGGGCAGATGGCCTGTATCCAGTACGGCAACCGGCTGGCGTAAATCAAAATCTTTAATGAGCTGTGGGAAGAAACTACGCAGCACCTTTGGGATATTCGCACCTGGACAAATGGATGTGTTTCTCTGTGTACTGGCCTTTTCCGTGGACGGGATCCTCGCATGGCTTGTTCTCCACCACCTCGACGCCTTCGCCCTCCTCCGACTGCTCCAGACTGTGGCGCGCTATCATATAAAGCTGTCCGATTTTGTACTGGAAAATGATGAAAGAAAACATACAACAGGGTTTCAGCTGCAAAGGGATATGGATGGGGGCACTCACCTCCTCCACAGTGAGAGGCATGCAAACGCGGTACTCCTTGGTCAGCACCATTTTGTCTGTCGTCCGTGGAAGCGGCTGGCACAGAAAATCAAAATCAAATAAACGACGTTACGCAAAGCTAAACACACGAGACGCAACGAGCAGTGCTGCCAACTTAGCTGATTTCAAGCCATATTTTTCAAATTTCAAAGGTCAATATTGTGGGAGCCCCGCTTTTATACTTGTTTGATGGGTCAGTAAACTATTTTTCAATTGCCGCACAGCCAGGTTATGCTTTGTAGCCGATCTTTGCAATACGAACCGTTTCGTTAGCACACAACCGATTTAGTACAGTGTTGTCCGAAAACTTTACCTCTGTCCCAAAAACGTTATTAGAGATGGCGCACTGCCCGCAAAGCAGTTTTGGTATTTAAGGCTGTATCACACCTATTATTTTAATACTATACCACTATACCAGGGCTGTGGTATTTTTTGTGTGGCATTTTTGCTATTTTCTGCTACGGTCATACATGCACGTGTATTCTTTCACTTCTTTTTTCCATCGATCATGAACAGTCGACTTTGTAAAGTTTCCGGCCAGTATTTATTAAAAAAGGTAAGTTATATATTAAAAAAAACAGTTGGCTTGCTCCTCGTGATGTTTATTTCATACCGCCCCAGTCTGAAGAGACGTGTTGATTGGTTTAAATTCTGATAGCAAACGCCACATGTTTCTGTGCCGCCAAAGAGTTAAAATTCCATTATTTTAAACTATTCCATTACCTTTCAGATAGCTGAGCGGTAGCAGCATTACTATGATATCCAAGGATTGGAAGAAATGAAATTCCTGGGGGCGTGGCAGAACCCAACCGGCATGTTACACGTGTTTAAAGTAAGGTTAGTTTCGACCGCCAAAAATATCTTAATTTAGGTCTCCTATGATGCTCTTATATACCGCCCCAGTCGGAAGAACATTGTCGATTGGTTTTTTATTCTGATTCTCCTTCAAAAAATATATGTTTATAAGAATTCATAATAATAATGGTGCTAATCAGTGATCTTTATGTTTTAGGGCTTCTCGGGACATGTTACAAGTGACTCCCAATTGCTGTTCAAAAATGGTGAGTTTTAGAGTAAAATATTCAAAGACATGTATCTACAATTCTATGATGAACAACCCTTTAAAAACAGTTATCCCTGTCATAAGATAATTGATGATAAAATGAGCTGACATCATGCAATTAAAAAATATGTGTTTCATAATTTTCTAGCCACTAATTTGGAATATCTTATTACAGATATTATTCTCGGTCAGCAAGGAAATAGCGTCACAACCAAGCCACATTGGAAAATGGTGCGTCACAAATATATTATATATTTTAGTCTAATACTTGTCTTAATGATGAACAACCTTTAAAAAACAGTTATCCCTGTCATAAAAGAACAATTGATGATACAATATGCTGACATTTATTACACAATCTGTTTATTTTTAAAGCCTTTTTAGACTAACTAGGTAATGCTTTATATTTGCAGATGTTCCGTGAGGCTTTTGCTCTTGTTTCCATAATGTTCGGTGAACAGAATGCCTAAAATAGGTAGGTCTTCTAAAAATCTATTTCTATAATCTATACATCTTCCATGATGTTTTAACATACCGCCCCAGTCGGAGAAATTATGTCGATTGGTTATAACTTCTGATACACTCACACTATATACTTACTTTCTTAAATTATTGTTATGAATATTAATAGAATCTGTTTAATTTTCAGGTATTAAGGCACCAGTTTCGAAAGATATTAGTCCACCAGTCCTTTTTTAAGGTGTGTATTAAAATATATATAAAATAATGTTGTATAGATTCTGATGAAAGAAAACAGTAGACAAGCATATAACTGAATATATGTGTGTTGATACAATTAAAGTCTGATCTTATACAGATCTATAACTATCTGTAGGGATGTAAACTATATAATTCTAATAAGTACACTCTTTTTATTTTAGACCATATTAAAATGAACTTGATTAGACTGTCTAATGGACTCTTGAAAGGATAAAATTATCAAGGTAACTATCATATCTCAACTTAGCTTTAAAAAATAATGTAAATGATGAACTTTTATAAAACAGTTATCCCTGTCATAAGAAAAATTGATGATTAAGTTTCCTGAAGAAATTATATTAAAAAAAAAAAACAATTATTTTAGAATCATTATTTAACAAACTGTTTCTTCTATTTTTAGAAACGTTTTAAAGAAGCATCCAAAACCTTCCATCAAGAACTGGAAAACGTAAAGGTAGGTTTTCTCAAAAATTTATTCTTAATTTTCAATCATTTACTCAATGATGTTTAAGCATACCGCCCCAGTCGGAGAAATAATGTCGATTGGTTATATTATCTGATAGTCCCCCTAACCCAAACAATTTTTAATCTCTGGGAGTAACTTTTCTAATACTTATATTTTCTATTTTTAGGTTAGAGGGTCAGTCTTTTCGGATAACCAGCCAAAAATAGGTATGCATTTTTAATTAACTTTAATCTTATAATCCAATAAGCATGATGAAGACCCAAGACAAGCATATATCTGTACTCCGTTGAGGATTATTCACACGACTGACCAAACACTATCATTCTTCTTGGCTTGAATCACCTTTCTATATCTCCACTGATACTATTATTATCTTTAATTGCAGACTTTTGAAGAGCCGCAGAGGACCAACCCCACTCATCTTCATCTATTTGTATCAAAGAAACCCAATAAAAAATAATCTTTTTGTAATTAATATAACGTGATATATTTATTTTGCTTTCAATTATGTATAGACATTCATTCGCTTCAGTTTGCTGGAGATACTTGTTATGCTCTGCCTTCCGCATATATAAGAATATTTCAATTTGTAAATGTTGAGTCCTATATATATTCATATACTATGCTTTGAATTTCCGTATATGTAAACATGTAAATATATATGTGTACGTTGTTTAAATACACGTTACATATGTATTCGCTTGGCTTGGGCTTTACTCTCTATATTCTTGTAAATATATAATATATGTGTAGGTGTATGTATATTCAAATATCGTATGCAAGGATTAGGGGCGGGGGGTATATACGTTCAAAAATCCCAATTGCTTGTTGCACAACATAATCGAATCGTTCCTCCAATCCTCGCAGACCAGGACTGGATCAACTCTGTGATAGCCACTGTCAAATGCCATATATAAAAGTTTCATGGAGTAGAGTGTGGGGTGTGCGGCGCTTAACACGCTGAAACATTTGATGGAAAGCACAACTAGAATGGCTCTGGGTAGTATTACTTATAGATCGCTAGTGTCGAGCTTAGATATCGCTATAAAATTTTCATTTTCTACCAGACAACATTTATAAAGAGGTTACTTGTTTAATTATTTGATTCGCCTTTCGGATACTCGTAAACTATAGCTAATCGAGTTAGACGTACTCCCCTGTCTTGGATAGGGACAAATCAGGCCAAACATGGTAATTTTTTAACATCAATGACGATTTACAAATCAAATTAGATTCGAATTAGATTGGATTAGAATAACATATCAATTCCATGCGGGAGTCCGAAAGATTTCAATAAGGATTCTGAACGAAATGTGTGCTCTTTTCAATCACTTGCCATCGCCGCGTATTTTGTTTCTCGCTTTTATTACAATTACTCAATAGATGTTTTCAAAAAACAATAAGGAATCAACAATATTCATAAAATGTATCATTATAGAATATATGGTAAGTATAAATGTAAAAACTACGTATAATCTGTATAAGTCTAGGTCTGTATTTTTCTTTTTGGTTGGGTATGAAATAAATAAGTCTGCTGCTGGTTGGTGAATAAGTGGTAAATGGAAGGAGGAGAGGGGGGGCTAGTGCCCGATGTGCTTCTTGATGAGCGCCTGCAGGAGGCGCACCTTGGCCTTCTTCTCCTTGTACTGGGCATAGGTCTCGGTCTCCAGCGACCGGCGGTCCTGCTTCAGCATCTTGCGCCCGTTCTGCTCCTCGAACATCGACTCGTACTCGCGGATGGTGGCCTTCAGCACCGACTTCTCCTCGCGCACTCGCTCCAGCTGCTCCCACAGCTGGTCCAGACTCAGGGCCGAGATGTTCTCGCTGGCCGCCGCCTCCATGGGCGTGGCCGGCACCGGGCCTGTGAGGGTGGTAGTCGTGGTGGTCGACTCGTCGGAGGAGGCGTTCTGGGTGATCGTGTTCGGCGCCATCGAGTCACTGGGTGAGTTGGTGGTCTCGGTGCTGTTGTTCGATGAATACTGCAGCGGCGTTGAGGTGGCCTCGAACACCATGGCCTCGTGCTCCAGGATCGTGGGCAGCTCTGGCACCCCGGTTCCAGCTCCAAACATGACGGTGCGGGAAACTAGGCGCTTCAGCTGCCGGTAGCGGTCGTAGAGAGGTCGAGCGGCATCGCGTTCCTCCTTGGTGATGGGGTGTCCGTACAGGCTCTCGAAGTAGAGCAGTCCATGCTGCACGGCGCTCTTCTCCTGCACCAGCTGGTCACCGGTTAGCTCCTCCAGCTGCTCGGAGCGATTGCCGTTGACACGTTTCTCGTTCAGATTCTGAAATAGGATAGAAATCGGAGTGAGTAATGGTTTCTTTAAAAAACACCAGCCAGAGCTTCATAGAATTCGATAAAAAAGGCATTCAATGCCACAGAAGCCCACAAAAATTAACTGATAAGACCTCACACATACATTGTGTAAACAAGACAATTAATCAGCGCCACGGCACTAGGCATTATTCGCATTTGATTTGTTTATGGCCAGAAGTCATCGCGACCACGGCGGGCACTCGCAAAAAAGGGTGTCCGCCAGTACAGAAATAGAAATAAATGCGGAATATATACCCGTGTTTTGTAAACAAATAATACCGATGCAGAACTACAGTATAGGAATAATATATGTCTTGGCACTTGGACGGCTGCTCACTTGGGCCATTTCCCCTTTCCATTAGCCACTTCCCGCCATTCATCCTCAAGAGAGAGGAGAAATCATTTCGCGCACACTTTGTTTTCTTGGCAAGAATTCAATTTCGGATTCGGATTTCTTTCGAGCCAAGTGCTTATGACAAATATATCATTAATTTGTCAATACTATATAGAAGGAGGATACATAGAAGGAGGAGGCTTGTCTACAAGCCATAAATATGCATGTTTGGTATATTGTAGATTCTCATTAAATGCGGCGGAAACCTCCTAATTGGGAATGTGGTAATTGAATTGGAGGCAAAGTGTTTACGTAACTGAATCCATAGAAGTGTCTAGAAAAGACCTGCCTATCTGATATTCGATGGGTAATGAAATTGGTTCCTAACCATCAAGAATAATCCATAGAACTGTCTGGGAAATGCTCATCTATCTAAAGAACCCCATTAGAAATAATAATATTTAAAACCTGAGACCAAAGTCTATTTATTTCTTAAAAGGTTCTGAAATCTATATATATAGGCCTATGGACCCCTTATATAAACATCTTTAAGAGCTCTCTGCCAGTCCATAACCACGTCATTTCTCCCCAAAAATTTTTTTCACTTTTCAGCCGCGCACATTCTGTCGAGAAAATAATATTATGTTTGCCGAGCTCCTCTGACAATGGGGCAAGATCAAAGTTATTGCCAAATTGCTAAACATGTCGCTGCTTTCGGCTGTCGAGGCAATCTGCCTGCACATATCTACGTACATATCTGCTATATATATCTACGATCTGGCTCTGACGTCTGCCCCACTTGCTAATTGTCATAAATTGTGTTGTCTGCCCGTCTCGTGATTTCTGCAGACTGATAGGAGGTCTCTATTACCTGTTCGATTTCAGCGAGGGTTGCCTTCATGCGCTCCAGCTTCTTGGCCACCTCCTGGCCGGCGACGCCTCCGCCGCTGCCGCTGCCCAGCTTCAGGCCGAGGGCGGCGATGGGATCAGTCTTGAGCTCGTGCCGCTCCTTGCGCAGCTTGCTCAGCTCGGCCAGGGCGTTCTTCATGTACTTGTCGTTGAGGCGCTCCGCCTGCGAGGGCCGGTAGCCCAGACGCTGCTCCAGCGACTCCTCCAGCTGCACCAGCTTCTTCTTCAGCACGGTCACCCGGCGATTGATGGCCTTGAGGCGCTCGTCGGGCGATTGGAAGGCCACCATGGCGGGCAGCACCTGTTGCATCACGTCACGGGTGCGCATGTTCTCCAGGGAACTGAAGGCCCGCACGGCATCCATCGGCTCCAGACAGCAGTCCATGTCCACGATGTCCGAGTGGAGCTGAACAGTGGGCGCCTGCTTTGGCAGCTGCTGGGGATATGGCATGGCTTTGGCCAGCTTGGCGGCTGCGTCCAGGTTGCCGCCGATATGTGGCCGGGAGTGGGCGTAACGCCGGCTGAGGATGGGGGCTGGCTCGTCGCCACGCTCCCAGGGAAGCGACTCCTGGGCGGAAGTCAGGTCCAGGCTCTGCTGCTGGCGCTGGGGTTTGGCTTTGATGGGCGCTGGGACGTTGGAAGTGGGCGTGCTGTCATCGCTGCCCGCCGAAGAGCTCGTGGTGGGTGTGGGAGAGATGCTGGCACTCCGCTTGGACTGCAGCTCCTTCTGCTGTTGCTGCAGCTGCTGCTGCTGCTGGTGGAAGTCTATCAAGTTGTTGTCGTTGTGATCGGAAGCAGATTGCTGCTGCAGCTGTGGCTGCTGGTTCTGCTGCTTCCGGCTGCTGATGAAACCGCGTCGCTCGTACTTCAAGGCCGACAGATCGTACTTGTAGGCGCTCTGCTCGTCGCGGCGCGAGGGCAAGTACTTGGAGCCACTGGCTCCGCTGCCCTTCTTGGCCACGCCGGACTTGCGGACCGGCGGCTGGCGGGATTTGCAGAACCGCTCGCTGCTGCGGCGCCGTTCGTGCTCGCACTCCGAGTCGTCGCTGGCCTCCTTGGGGGGCTGGCGGGTCGGGCTCGGCTCCAGGCGGGGGCGCTCCTTGGCCGCCTCGCCCGATGACGGCAAGTTGGCCAGGGCGGCATTGTTCTCCCCCAGCTCCGAGGCCTGCTCCTGCTCCCGCTCGAACTCCTGGCGGTAGTTGGCGTAGCTGGCCGTGCGCTTGAAGTCTTCCGAAGACACCCTACGGATGACCTCACACTGGGCCTCCAGCAGACTGGCCGCTGTCTGTGGCGACATGGTCATCAGCCCCACAGCAGCCGGCTCTGTCAGCAGCTCCTCGCTGTTGCTGCGCTGGAGCTTGCGATCCTGGCCGAAGGCCGAGCTGCTGTCCAGACGCTCCTTGCGCTTCCTCGAGGACTTTTGCCATTCCAGGGCCGGGTGTATGATCTCGGGTAGGTAGGTGGATTGGAAGCCGTTGTTCAGGTGGTTCTTGTCCGCTGCCGAGGGCTTCTCCGGGCTGCGGCCGACCTCATTGCGAGGGGCGGGATTCGAGGATGATGAGGATGAGGAGGACGATGAGGAGGCTGCGCTGCCGCACGAGGCCGTTGACGATGATGAACCGGTGAGACGACTCAGGTCGTCTTCGTTCAGCCCAGTTGTGGTATGGCGCATGCCGCACTGCAAGTAGAAAAGGGGGGGTTCATTAATTATAGATTTAAGAATTTTATATCGTGACAAGCTTAAAGTCACACGAGAAATGACATTTCTCTGGCGAGTCGGCCAATTAAGTGGGTTAACGTGTCGTATGAGTAATACCCATTTCTGCCCTGTCATGACCCATCATCAAAGGCTAGTAATCGCATATATTAAAAAAAAATGCTCAGCCGGGCATCTGATAAATAATTTATGGCATTTCAAGTCAGGTTTTTAATCATTTCTTAGTGTTACATAACCCATTAAGAAATTATTAGGATTTAAACTATTGAAAAAATGATTAGGAAATAAGGCTCCCTAATTATAGGTATTATTAAGGATATTTTTGTTATATAAGCTCCCCAAAAAATCCCCTAAGGATCTTAGAAATATTTAAAATATTTACCAGAAAGTATGTAATCAGCCTCGGAGTCATACTGTTTGGCTAATCTCAGTCTAATCAGTCTAACTAGATTTATTATCACAATCAAGTTCAGTTCACTTATCAATCACAAGCAATAGATTTGAATATTACTTTTTTTTTTTAACAGCACGGATGTTATAATAAAAGTGTCTCAAGTGTGTTTTAAATCTTGCTTAATTAATTTCAATAAAAATTAATTGAAATTTTCTTTCACATTCAGAAGCTTTGTCTTTTTTAATTAATTTTATTTTTCTTATTCAACCGTATCTTGGTTTTTCAGTTTATAGATTTCTACATTTTCCGATCTTGTTTCGGTTGTAAAAAGAATTTACGATTTTCCGCTTTTCCAACGGAAACGACTTTCGAGTATATTCTTGGGAGACTTTTGGGTTTTCTCTTGCTTTTGGCCCGGACACAGCCGAGCTAAAATGTTGGTAGAGGAGCGAAGAAACGCGGGCGTTGCTTTCTTTGGGCGCACCGAATCACTATTAAACCCATTCTGCTCCGACCTCGCGAATTATATGCGAAAATCCCGGAGAGAGTGCGAGCGAGAGAGCGCGCCTGCGCACTTATCGCAGTTCCCATCGATCGGTAGCAGGAGGCACGAAGACACGAAGGCGAGAAGGAGAGCAAAGGTGCGAAAGCTTCGGTAAACAACAGTTAAATGCAAACAAAGTTTAGGAGACATTTGTTATGTTCTGGATTTCAGATGCACTGAAAGAAATTAATAGGGCTTAAAGACTTTAAAAATTATACTTTTTAAGTAAATCTTATTTAAGATTTATTTTAAGACTTTTGTAATGGTCTTAATATTTTTTTATTTTAAGTAAGAAATTAAATTTCTCTTTATCGTTATCGGAAGAAAGTACTATATGATCGGTAGCAAATTGGTAGACAAAGTGTGATATTTGCTCAACAAACACAGTCTCAAAGGTGCCAGTGGGTTAAAAATAGCTCTCTGGGCCGCAAATTAGCAGCAGCTCTAGAGTTTATGGCCACAATAATGAGACGAATTAATTTATGCACTTGTTTACACCCCTCCTGCAACACGCGTTCCGCCACTAAATCTCCGCCCGATTGATCTAATTGTAAAATCATTTCGGGCATTCGAGGCCAAAGACAGGAGAAGCTGTACAGGTAATGCCACTTCCCGCTGGCGGAAAAATAAATCCAACAAAAATATGCACAGGCAGAGGCACAAAAATAAGCTGAAAAACAAATTTCAAGTGCAATGTCACGACGTGAGTGTAAAAATAAAAAAATTTACAACAGAAACAACAAGCAGAGTGGGTGGGGTGTAAGAGAGATGCGACTACAGCTGGAATTCTCAGTGCCGCCCCCAGACCCCTGAGTCACTATTCTCTAGGTTAGCCAAATAACGGAGCATCGATCTCAAACGAGACGGACTAATTAAGATCCACGCGCCCTACAGTGACGTCAATGGCGAACGTGATCGAGAACAGCAACAAAATACAAGATGGGGCCGAGAATTAACACGAGGCATGGCCCACAAGGCTGAACAAAATAAAAAACAGGATTCCGAAACAAAACCCACACTGCGTATGATTGATATATTTTGGAGCTGCTTGTCAGGCCACTTGCAAGATTAAATACATTTTAAAAGAAATTAAAACTAATACCAGACACTCTCCAAAGGACTTGGTCGCTCTTTCTCTGAATGGAAAGGCGCGTGCAAAGAATTTTCAATTAGGTCTTAAATTTTATCAAATTAATTAGACTACTTAAGGCCCTCGAAGCAAAGGCCCCCGACTGTTTGCTTTGGACTCTTCTGGGCAGACACATAGCGACAGGTGAAAGCCCCCGCCTGGCAGCCTATAATGGATAATGAATTGGACTTCAATCGGGAGTGGGTGTCGCGGGTTTGTTGATTTAGGGATTGATGAGGCTAGAGCTATACTGAGCTATATATTTACAAGAAATACAAGAAGAAAAGTATGAAAACCGACCAATTTCATCATAAAAATTGAATATTTTGTTTGTGTTTACGGAATAATAGTATACGGTGATTGTTTACAAAGAGGCAGCCGCACAAGTGCATGACTCAGATGGTGCCGACAAAAGGTCGATTGGCATTACCAGCCACGGACTACCCAAACACCTTTTCCAGACACACTCCCCCCATAATCGGACCTCAAATGGTGGCTGACACGAGTCAACTTTTATTCGAATTTCGATTTCAGTTTCAGTTTTTAGATAAAGATTGCTTTTAGAATAAAGAGGTGATGGTACGGCAGTCGCCGAGGAATTCCCGATAAGGATGGGTCGTCATGAACTATTTATATTTATGGACGGCAGCCGATTAAAGGTAAAGTGCTTTCGGAAACAAATAACAGCTGAGAAAGCAGACTGGTGGTCAGGTTCTTCTATGAAGCTTCGACAGGACTACCAAGAAAGTCCCAGTCATGAGCCACGCGCTCGAGGCAAACTGTTGTTTACCCTCAAAATACCACGAAAACAAAGTCGTTGCTTGGGGGATTTATGCAGCTTTGTACAATAAAAAGAATAACAACAATAACAAGTGTAGTAACCTCGGGTGTAGCGTCAGAGACTCCTCGCACCGTGATGCTAAAATTGGACCACGAGGCGTATGCGCGATGCGGGCGTTTTAACAGCCCCGTGTGAATATATATCCAGCCGAACAAATATTGAAAAGGCATTTTCACCGGCTGATAAGGCCCGGAGAGGCGTTGGATTTACCTGGTTACCAGGCCTTATTGCCATCTATGGCACGATTATAAACATAAACAGCCGGAGACCGCCTAGCGCCGGCTGAAACCGGTAAAGATCCGGTGATTGCAGGTCTTCCACAAGATAATGCTCTCCTAGACTTCCCATTGAGAGGTTTTGGCTCTGGGGTCTCGGGTTTTTGGATGAAGTGGGTAAACAATTTTCGCGTAATTGTATCAACAACATGTAGGAGCGTAGAGGAGAGTCTCTCGGGCCCTCACGATAAAGGCCATTAGGGGTATTAGTGTTGACATTTCATCTATTCCGAGAGGCTCGGGAATTTGGCAACCGAATCGTAAACAAGTTGAGGCTCACCGTCTAAGGTGTCGTGAGATTAATGGCATTAAACAAGCCATTTTACAGCTGGTATTAGCTTACCGAATAAACAATATTTTCAAAAGGTGTAGGAGCTCTATAATAATTGTATTTATTTATTTATTAAAAGTCATCTTATGTAGTCCCTTCGTAACTGGCTTTCTGTTAGGGAAGAGCATGAACAGCTGGTAGTTCTTAATTATTCCCAGCTGGTGTTTGCTTAATTTTAATTTTAAAACCACTTTTAATGCAATTATGATGAATCACTGACCGATAAGACGTTTTAATCCTCTAGCCCGGGGAAAAACCCATCAGAAAGAATGGAATTCGAATTCCTGCTATCCATTGCATTCGACGCCGGCACGTACGGGCTTTCAATGGATATGCGAGTTCATAATTGAACGACAATTAATCACACTGATAAGATAACAGAGAGAGAGAGCGATTCACAGAAACTGATAGCGAATTAAATTTATGTACTGTCGCCGGAATTTCAAGTAGCCTTCTCAAGTGGCCAAGTAATATATGATACTCTTCATCTTTACCTCTTGAAAGCTCATTCGTACGCCCTTTCCTATTTTTGGAACTAAATTTTGGAAAAGTTTCCACTGCGAATCGCATCAATCACTGACTACCCCAGCTATCGACTAAACAAGCGACTATCTTGGCTAATGGCTGCGATTTCCCCCCAATCATGATTGAAATCGGTTAATGTCAGTCACGTGCTAGCCGGATACCGTCTACCGGCTGCCGGATTCCTTTGCTGCAATTTCAAAGATTGCGCAACAATGGCAAGAACAATCGGGAGTTCGAGTGGGAGTGATTGGGGGACTGCCTGGGGAGGGGTAACATGATACTCCCCAACGACTAACGAGTTATGGGGAAATGTCAGTGGAATATTACCAGGTCCGAACAAAAAAAACGAAATGCAAATGCGAAGCGGCTCACATTTTAATGAAGCGTCTCTGAAACAACAAACACACAAAATACCCAGGTAGAGGAATGGAGAAGGTAAACAAGAACCAGAGACAGGAGCTCTGAGACCGTGGAGTGTTTGGATAAAGAAATATTAGAGCAAGGTAAACCTAAAAGGTATTCTATGGAAGAATACCTAGAAGGTAACCAAGGTTCTAGAAGGAGAAGGTAAACAAGAACCAGAGCCAGGAGCTCTGAGACCGGAGAGTGCTTGGATAAAGAAATATTAGAGCAAGGTAAACCCAAAAGGTGTTCTATTGAAGCTTAAATGCCAGGAAGTACAATACAAGTCTATAGAAGGTACAAAGTACAGAAATCCTTTATTTCCAAGCTTGTGCCATTTGTGACGTAACTTCTTGATTACTATCACTTGATCAGCTCCTTGTTTTTGTTATTTTTACGATTCTTTTCAATTAATTTACATATTCCATTTTATAGTGCTCTCTTTTTTTTTGTCCAGTTCTGTTGGAATCAATCAATTTCAATTGATTGAGGCATCTCCAGTTCAGTTAAGGGAGAATCAGAAATTTCTTTTTCCAGTTTTGTGAACTTTGCCAACCCGTATATAAATAAAATATTATACTATACGAATTGAAAAGAATGCACAATATTTGATATAATTTACGAGGCATTTTGAGTCCCAACAGGTTTTGTTTTAATTTATTCCGTCTGGTTTCATTTCTTAATTAAATCATTAAATTTTTAAGAAGGTAGTTTTTATCTTGTGTCGCATTACGGAGTGGTGCCAGATACTTTGGTCTCTGCTGGTGGCACATGATCAGGCCACTGTTCTGAGATAGTCACGAGATCCGCAGACCAGGCGGCACACGACCCTGGCAGATGCATCTAATGGATTCGATGACTTATACAACCGCCACACACAGTGACTGTCGTTTTTAAATGAATGATCTCAGAGATCACATGCCACACCAAGCGGCATATAGTCTCTGCTGCTGTCCCAGCGAAAGATCATTTCCGAAACCCCCTCTATTTATACACCCATGATGAGGCTCCCACCATACCGTGTGTTTAGTGGACCAGGCCAAATGCCAAATACAAACCTAAACAATGCCAAAAATAGAAGCCACAATTGATCGCTTACACATTGAACTTTTCGAACGTGATCCATAAATAGACGGAAACCGCGCAGTTTGCCAAAAAAAATGCTAATCAGTTGGGCTGACGCGTTAATTTAATTTAGCCGACTTGTCACAGTGGCGGCAAAAATATTGTCAATATCAGGATCTTAATTAGTTTGCTTTCCATTATAGTCCCAGGTCTGGAGTCTAGACTAGATGTACATACATCCAAAATGTATTTGAATTGTAATTTTTTGGGTCAATATACTCGACCCAACCACCACGTCAACTATCGTGACTTTTCGAATTATATTTCTGATTGGGGGTGGGAGGGAAAGTCGGAAAGGGAAAAGCT